CAATAAAATCATGAAATAACGCGCTCCGTGGATAAACGTATATTTACCTATAGAAAACTTAATTTGAAATACCATCACGTTTACTCGTATTTAATACCGACATATGTACTTTTTTTATACTACGATGGTGGCAAACAAGTGACAATATATGACTATTATATACATAGTATACTAACTTATTCTTTACAAAAGATATAATACGCAATATTTTTTTAACGTAATAGTCAATACGCAGATGACCTACTGTCTTACCGTTATCACTTTTCCAAAAATTACCAGAACGAGCAGGTTTTTCAGTATTACACTTGTTTACTCTTTCTTAATGTAGTTAATATGGTTTGTTTAAAACTTAACTAAATTTCGATGAGACTTTTTGCATTCATTATTATAAATTTATATTCACTATGCGAGGATTGCAAAGCATCGCTTTTTTAGAGGTAATTTAGAGCTTCCTGTCCTTGCTATTCAGTAAAAGTATACCAAAATATTGAGATAATCAGGCATTTTAGTGGAATAACATAAATAACTAAAATATGTAGGTAGTATAAAATATGCTAAAAGGCGGGACGTCTTGGTTTATATATACCTACAACTGATCATCGTGGTTTTTTAACCACATATGTAAGTACCTAAGGTATGTTAAGAATATTGATTAGGTTAATTTGTTAATAAACATATACCAGTTGTCAGGTTTTGTATATAAATAATGAGATACTTACTTGAGCTATTCTTAACTAATTACCAGAAGGAAGTAAATCCAAGAATACTATGACAAATTTACAAATGATAAACTTTTATTTGCGGCCTTAACTGAAAGTCGGTAATGGTAGCACTTTCGCTTATAAATACTTGTTGCGTCCCGTTCCGTAGCATGTCTTATGCATGGTTTATGCTTCGTAATCTTTTATTTACATTAAATTATTATGTTAGTATTTTCCATTTTTATAAGATCTCCCTGATACACTTATAGTTTTATTAACTTACCGTAAAACTAACCAATACACTGAGACTTATTTCACCATTGAATGAGGTAATATGACTATTCATAAACGTATAAAAATTATAACATTTGCCATTGTGAAGCAACCTATTCTGTAATTGACTTTGTAATGCAATAATTACCTCCCTCCAGAAATCTACGTTTTCTTAATATAATTAGTGCTTCAATAATCACTACATGGATAGAAAAATATAAATCGTTTCATTAAACGAGTCGTACTTCCAGGAAACAATAAAGACGCATCTATCTACAGGTTTCGATAAATAATTGTCACGGCTAGGTAAATCAACTGTGAAACTATACAATTTTTCTAAAAGGATAGTAAAATCATAAATACAATTTTCGATTACTTTATACCTTTCATACAAAAACCGTGCGGTTTGTTTTTCTACAAACAGCTACGTATTTACCTACAACAAATCGTATGACCACCCTCAGTGGCGTTTGTAAGGACAATCTAAAACAATAAATTATTCTACTATCTTCGTTACTTATAATATACAAGGCATTAAAATTAATAAAACAGAATACAGAGCATATCCTAAGCAATTTTAAATGTACCTACTTATAGATATACAGTTATAAAATATTTATCATAATCTAAAGACCACTTCCTCGATAACAATTGGCATAATAGTTTTAGGGTCCTAAAATATTAATATACAGCTGATATCAGAGTAGGTTGAAGATATCATTACATTATTACACGTTGTTTTATACAATAATGGGTAGATTCTGTATTTATTTCATGTTATAATTAGACGGTATAATTTATCAAATATGATGAAATTGCAAATTGCATTAATTTAGTAAATATGATAACTTTTTATTCATGATGTACCTATTTAATACTGTTTTGTGTTGATGTCAATGAAAAGTTAGATATTATACTATTATATTAAATTTCTGACATTCTATGAAGCGAACACATTTTTACCAGACTAAAAGTCAACATGCGATATAAATTAATAATAGATATCTTGATATGTACAAATCTATTGTCATCCGTTACATACACATAGATGCTATGGTATCAACCGTTCTAATGCAACTACTCTATTTTGGTTTAGTATAATTCAGATATACTGTCATAAACTATAGAAATAGTAAAGTTAGCACATTAAGTGACCCTGTCTTGCTTTTGTATAGTTTTATCTACGTGAAGGTGAAATTCTTTAAAAAATATGTTTTGAAAATATATCTATTTACTTTACTGCAGCACTAAAGTATAATATTTTTTCTAATGGGATATTCAATGTCCACTAGATTATAGCCCATCTAAATAGAGTAACAAAAGGAATTAAAACATTTTTACAATTACAAAAATATTGCTAAGAATTTAATACGGAATCATTGTGGCACCTTTAGATATATTATCGTATCGATATGTTTTATTGCCCAAAGTTAACATTGTTATTATATATTATCGGAGCGGAAGGACTTTTGTAACTCCAGCGTTGGACATTGAAACATTTGTAAAATGAGTAGACATTTCTTAAAATCAATAGTTTAAATACAAATATTAAACATTCGTTAATTTCCTATGGTATGCTATGTCCGATTAAACTCTACATTCGTATTTGTCTATTTTTTTATATCTCTATTTTTATTTGTAATACAATAATATATATTTATATCTCTATTTTTTACGGATACAGCAGAATACGATGTCGTGCCTATCCTGTAAAAGCAGTAGGTACATACCTTACGGGTCGAATTACGTTTTCAAGACATCCAGGAACTGCCACTAAACGACTGAACTGATAGTCATCCTTTAGTGACAACTTCAAGTACAAAGAAGAATAATACATATTAAGAGAAAGTAAGTAAAAATACTACGGGAATGAGTTACGGCGCGGAGGAATAACATATCTAACAGTTAATAGTAAATATATAAGTAAACATTACACATATAATTCTATTATATATTTAATATTAACGGACTTCCACGTACATATCCATTTACATATGTATAATATTGATTTATAGCAAGCATAAAACACTATAGATAATATAGTTATCGCGTGATGCAGGCACACTGATATTACCTGTTCACTTCACTACTGTTACGGTTAATATTTTGTTACCGTTGTGTTTATCTAATATTTATTGTCATTTAGTTCTGATGAAATTTAATATAAAACTCTCAATGATAAATTACTATGAAGTGACAGAATCGAAATTGTCTGAACCATCAACATACTATTAGAAAAGGTGGAAAAAAGACAGCCTCTTTTTATTTTCGTCTACTTAAGCACATATAACTATTAAAATTATATAAATATTGAATGTAATATAAAGAAATAATTGTAAACAATAGTTTAAATGAAAATGAACAGCTAAGAATAGCCTGTAATGCCTTGTAGAATGAAAAGTTTCACAACGATAATATTTAAACAACATATAAGATCCCGAAAACGATATTTTTTGTTCTCGGTAAAGTACCTCCTAATATATTGTATAGTACAAATGCAAAGAACTATGATTAAGATTAGGAAAATGGTTGTACATCCCTTGCCTTGCATAGTCTACAGCAGGGTTTCTTAAAGTGGACAACATGAATCCCTAAAGATTCACCATTCGACAATAGGGGGTTCGCTACAAAATTTACGTATTGGTCTCTTGGTGGCAGACACGACGCCTGAGTATCCCGAACTCTCACGCAAAGCGGTGAATTTCCTTTTACTCTTTGCTTCAACATACTTATGAGAGTGTGGGTTTTGAAATCTGGTCATGATAAAAACTAAATACAGAAATCGAGTTGATACCAAGTCAGAAATAAGATCAAATTTGTTCTAAATTACGAGTACCTACTCTTAAAACTGATTCAATTTTGCTATAAGAAACATCCCATCACATTCAAATTAAAAACATACGTTATTTGCCACTCCATTTGTTACCTTTTATTGAAATAAGAACCTTATTTTCTTTAACAGTGAATTATATTTTTCTTGGGGTGAGGAGTTAAGGGGTTCGCTATCATCTGGAAACTTTAAAGGGGTTAGTGGAACCAAAAGATTGAGATAACCTAGTCCATACCCTACGTCTAGTAATAGTCACTACTGTGCATCTATCTGCTCTGATGGTACGAATATACAGCGGAGCACCAGTAGGCGATAGTATTATGAGTAAGAAGTCAGATATTTTAGCTTATTTTGACGAATTTACTTGGAATTACTCATTGAGGAATATCTTCTAGGGTGACCGTGTGGAGGACAACCTGACATGGCACCTGAGTCGCCACTTCTAATTTATAACAATCGTAATAGGTGCACTAATACATTCCCATTCCTAAAGACAATGATAAAATAAAGTACGTTTTTACAAAACGTAGCAAAAACGAAACTTTTAAAAACTAACAAAACAGCAGCAGCGGCAAACTAAGCACAGGCAGATATTCTTACAAGCCCTAACTATTTAGTTATATAGCTACTCAAATACCAATTTTTATTGTTATATGCTGACATACACATATAATATAATATTAAATCAGTAAAGTTATTTAGCAGAGTATCGTACAACCCCTCTCTGATATAAAATACTATAAATTAGTTATTAGGTACTTAGTTTATTTCAATGTGTCGAATAAATAAAACATTAATTAAAGTGTTGAAATAATTAAGACCTCATTAATTTTATGTGGACTAGAAATTAGATATCTAAATGTCAAGGACAAAATGTGTATATAAATTAGGTTAATAATTATATTTATTTACGTAACAATATATTTCTCTAGTTAAAATACTTAATCTATTAGACGTCAAACAGATATTGAGAGTGATATGCAACTATATAATGAATTTGAAGAATAGGATCCAGACTCATCATTCGATATCTGAAAATATCCTATTTACAATCTAACTAAAGAGTTGTTTTAGACAGACAATAAAAAACAAGAAACTTGGCGAACGTAATTGAAACAATAATTTGCCTTTCACTTAGCATTCGAAATTGACACGTAGACTTAATTTCGATTATAATATAGATCAAGTAAACTCACCTTGCGAGGGTTCTGAGATCAAACAAGCACAATATTACACAAGTTTTAATTCACAGTGTTATCATAGTTGAAACGGGATTATGGATGTAGAACGAAAGTGACAGTTTCCGTGTCCGCGAACAGCGAATTTGATTCGAGTAAAAGTGCTAAAGGTAAGAAGCGCGGGGCGCATGCACTCGCGGCGACTACTCGCTTTGGAGTGGAGGCCTAGAGGCTGCCCTGCTCGACTGGCATACAAGTTAGCGCCACCACGTAGCCTCGGTTTCTGCTATCATCACCATTGTTTTTCAAATTAAAAAAAGAAAAATAAGTTTCAGTATAATTTCGGTATAATATATAATAATAGGTTGCTTATTTCCGCCTCTCTATTCACAGTTTCAATCTATACAAACTAGAAAAGAACAGAACTGTATAAAATGAAACCACGAAGGACTTTTTCTTTTCCCATTTAATTATATTATTAATTTACGTACATGCAGTAATTATTTGTGATCACAAAGTATTTTTAAAATATTCATTAATTAGTATTCTAAACGTATAAAATGTCTTAAATTAAAGGGGAAAATTAGTGATAGTGATATTCATTAAGTATTTAATTAGATGTCATTATGCGAATTACAATTCTAAGCCGACCAAAGTGCTCAAAGTAACTTCTCACTTAATTATGTTTAAATATTTTAATTATTTTGTATATTTATGTAACTCTTATGAGTTACATAAATATACAAAATAATTCACTTAGCTGTAGAGTTGGGTATGTCAAGACATCGACATACCACACATACCACATCATACCTTAAGGACTTCAAAAAGAATAAGATAACTAATACTTAACTGTGCCTCCTAAAAGACGTCATTAGTTATAATAAATTTCTGAAATGCAGGAAGACTCATTCAAAATTCTGATGAACTGTGAAATTATGTCACATCTACTGAAATCAATGTAACTTCCTGGACATCCTAAAATTGTCTTCATGTACATTAGAGCAAGTGAGTTATGGTAGAGACTTAATAGTACGATATTATACTAGTCACTAGAAATTATGGTTTATACAAAACCAGAGTAACCCTGAAAAAAATCTTGATAAAAAAAAACTGAAAAACGATCGCTCAACGCTTTGTTACTTATAGTTTTGTTACATATAGATGTAACAAAGCGTTGTATGTAACAAGCCCTGTTTAACATATATAGTTTATAGACACTATATATGTTAAACAGGGCTTGTTTTATTTTTAAATCATCAGCTCTTTTCAAGTTGACAAAGGAATATGAGTAAAAGTCCTAAAAGTTTTTTATCCTAAAGTTCCCTAAATAACCTACCATATTATTAGTTTCTACTATTGGATATTAGACATATCAGTTCTGTAAATATTTCATCAACTGACAGCATGAGGGGGGAAGGGGATTGTTAGTAATGGGCATTGATAACCCCATTGCTAGCAATGTACGATGTCAGGTCGACCTCCACGCGGTTCCCCCTGGAAACCATCGTGCTAAATTCCTGGTGAATTTGTCACGATGTGCTAATTGAGCTGACCTCATGCTCATCTTATCATCCTCCACTGGTGCCCCGCCAGCGTAAACCGTTAGCGCAGGCGGGTGCACCATTCCATTATCAACCCTAAAAAAAAACTGACAGCATGAGGGGGGAAAAGGGGATTGTTAGTAATGTAGATTGATGATCTTATTGCTAGCAATGTACCATGTCAGGTTGACCTCCACGCGGTTCCCCCTGGAAACCATCGTGATAAATTCCTGGTGAATTTGTCACGGCTAACTGACCTCATGTTCATCTTATCATCCTCCACTGGTGCCCCGCCAGCGTAAACCGTTAGCGCAGGCGGGTGCACTATTTCATTGTCATCCATTAAAAACAAAAACTGACAGCATGCGTAACATAAAAGAAAGCGTAAAAAAGCAAGAATACTTATCCATTGTCATTGAGGATATATTGTTTTTAATTAAATTTTCGCTCTACGGGACATTTGCAATTTCTTATAAATATGCACATACATATGTACTCTCGGAGCTTCTAGGCAGTTACCTATTTTGTTTAATGGTTAATGAGGTTATATTCATATATATATAGATTTATATCAGTAAAGTCCTCTATCTTCAACTGATCTACGATATAAAGGTAAAAGTTGAAAAGAGTTCTCACACCACAAAATGTATTCAATATGAAGGCATATACTCGCATCAAAAAAAAATATTTTAATCCTAGTTAACACTGGAATCCGTCCAGGTGCCAACATGAAAATATGCTCCACTCTGAAATTAATTTGTTATTAGATAAAATTGAAGAATCAGTAGATACGTATATGTACCTACTTACATATATATTATTATCGGATATCAGTACTTAAATTTCCGCTTTATTCATTTTGTTTCTTATAGTAAAACAAGTTATAGTTCAGGGTGTAGGCCTCATTAATTTATAGAACATAGTATTAGATATACATGTAACTAAAATAAATTTTAGATGTTATATAATAATGGTAGAATTTAAAATCGTTTTGTAGTCAGTATGTCACCCATGTTTTTCTCAAAGCTTAAGTTTATATTTATATTGTATTTCATCCTAATTCCATGTTAATAAAAAACAATTTTCACGTATTTAGCGACATATTATGTACAGCTAAAGATTAGTTGATACGCAATTTCATTACAATATTTTTACTAGTTCTCTCTTGTTCAGTCGTGCAATTTGTCTCTATTCTGTTTGTCAGGCGTTAGCATCAGATTACCAACGTTTCAATCTAATGTAACTAATTTGTTAATTATCTTTGACTAACGTTATATGCAAAGATTATGTGGGCCTTTCTATCTTTATTTCACATATTTCAGTTGGATATTCAGCTATATTTCGACTAAAGTATGATATGGTAGTGAAGTTGCAGCGTGAATATTAGAAAGGGAAATATGTCCAATATGTTTTCCAAAGTATTGGCATGCAAATATATTTTTGAATATTTTTTAAATCACTATGGTATGGATGGTAAGAGTCCGGACGGTATGAGTTTGATTCCATGGAAGATGGGCCGGGTGCTGGTATGGGATGCAACCTGTGCAGACACGCTGGCCCCATCCCATCTACATGGAACCAAAAACAGCGCTGGTGCGGCATGTGAAGCGGCTAAAAAAGCCAAAACAAGTAAATACAGGGGTCTAGGCTCCGAATATGAATTTGTCCCATTCGGTGTCGAGATCCTTGGTCCGTGGGGTCTTAGCGCTATAAGACTTTTCAAAGAAATGACGAAAAGGTTAGACGACATCACAGAAGACCGAAGAGCTGGCAGCTACCTTAGACAAAGAATTATTCTAGTTATTCAAAGAGGGAACGCTGCCAGTATCTTCGGAACGTTGCCTAAAGGGACGCCTTTTAATAATATATTTTAGTCATCATATTATATTTTTTTAAGTTTTTTATTTTCGGTTCATAGTTGTACAATTAGGTTATGTAAATACTAGTAATAAATGTATTTGTGTACGAATAAAGTAGGCAATAAAGGATCTAGAGATTAATAACAACTTTAAAATATACCAGAGCAGTGTTCTCCATTAGTACAAAAATCGAATTGTTGTAAAAAAATTTGTTTATTAGCAATTTTTTTAAATTTCAGTTCACAGTAGAAGAAGAAAAGAGTCTACTACTCTACTTGCATAGGTCTAACCCATATGAAGTGTTACTCTTAATAATTATTATTTTACCAATAATTTCATTGCTAGTTATTCTTAATACGGCATGGTGGAGATATGATATAAATGATATGATAAAATACCATGTAGATCTTATTTAAAAAATCCATTGTAGTTGAAAGTGTAACCTATATACCTAATAAATAAGGGCTTCTACGATGCCGTAGATGGTTAGTTTCTACTCAATTAACATACTTGAGCGATCTTTTTTCAGTTTTTATATCAAGGGTTTTTTCAGGCTTAATCTGGTTTTGTATAAAACAGAATTTCTAGCGACTAGTATATTAAGTCTTATCGTACTATTAAGTCTCTACCATAACTCACTTGCTCTAATGTGCATGAAGACAATTTTAGATGTTGTATTATTTTTGATATTTTATTATATACTAACTGCGGATGAGCCCGGGGTTTCACCCTCGTTAAATATTAATAAAAAATATAGCCTATTTGTTATTCTGATGCATAAATATTACTGTGAAGTTTCCTCAAAATCCGTTCAGTAGTTTTTGCATGAAAGACTAACAAACATCTATACTAACAAACTTTCGCATTTATAATATTATTAAGATTAAGATATTCTAATGATCATTAAATAGTTCTTTGGTTCTATGGATAAGCAGTTTTTGTTCTCAGAAGCTGTTTACAATCATTTTGATATATCTGTCACATAAATATACTTACGTGTATGTATATTTAAAAGTTTTATTTTTATAAAAAGATGTTTTCGTATTATTGTTGCGCCGAAGCCACAAATTGCTCGTATGCATTTCATTACATCGTCTCAGTCATGAGCGTACCCAGCCATTGTATCAAAAGTGAGGCAGCAGTCCAAAATATAATAGCAAAGTATATCCGCGGTCTTATCCCAATTATTTTTTCATACAAAACGGTAACATCCTATTACTCCTATTGCTCACCTACCAATACCATGAAATCGACTGTCGAGTATGAACTTTCTTACGGATATTAATTAAGTATCGTAGTTAGTACTTAGATAATTTATTTTTTTTAGGTTTCACAGTCAGGGTGGGGCAAGCGTGCCTCAGTGCGTATGCATAAGCTTTTTTACGTTTCCTTAGTTTATTTATGTGTCCTTTAGTTACAATTATTGTTTATCGTAAGTCCTAGCCTAGGAACTTTCTGTCCTTACATTTTGTTACAATATAATTTTCACATTTTATAGTAATATTTTTAACTTTCGTGGAAAACATTTTAAAATGTATTTATTTAGTTTTAGCGTTATTTACAGTCAAGTTATCGTATCTTAGCCATATATATGTTTTCAGTTGAATGTATATGGTCAATGGTCATTGTATAATGAAAACTACTTTTTTCTGCGTTCATAAGGGTGGACAAATAATTCACTTATAAAATGTGTCACCAGTATTTAATTATTTCGTATTTATATGTAAATACTGCTATTCTTACATAACGATAAACCTATAACTTATCGCTACCATACCTAATCTGTACCGACTGA